GCCCACAGCAGTCTGAGGCATCCCTTATCCAACCCGCCTCCCCGGCCACAACCAGACTTCCTCTAGGTAACTAACCCTCAAATCAGCAAACGGGGTGCCCAGCCACCAGCGCGCACACTTTCCTTAAGAGGGACCCCGGGGCGCGCATGGACTTTGTTTTAACCATTTTGCGCCAGGCTCGCCCCTGCACCCCGCCCCAAGGATTCTCTGAGAACCAGACACTTTCCCGGAGATTCTAATTCTCTGGGGGCGGGGACTGAGAAGAGGGTGGGCGGCTACTAAATTCGCACCTCGCTCCAGCGCGGAGACCCCCCCCACCCGGCCCCGCCCCGCCCCCGCCGGCGGCGGGGAACCCTGCTCCGCTCGCCGGCTGAGCTTTACTTTCTAAGGAGCCGCCCGCAGCTCGGAGGTCTCACTCTCGCCTCCGCGCCTCCCCGGCCGGCCCCTCCTCGGCTCGCTGGAAGGCTCGGGGTCGGGGGCGCTCTTGGTTCCTGCGGTCAGGGTGCCACCCGCCGCCCCCAAAGGTGTGCCGGGCTGGGGCCGGGCTACAGTCGCTGCAGGCGCCGCCGCCGCCGCCGCCGCCGCCCTGGGGGAGGAAGGACGCGCCCTCCCGGCGGCGGAGCCGGTCCTGCCACCGAGCATGCCCAGAGGCGGCCGGGCGCGGCGCAGTCCGCTCTCCCGGTTTTCGCGGCAGCAGGCTGAGGCGGGAGGCCGGGCGGGGATGGGGTTGGAGAGGCCGGGGAGAGGCCCGAAAGAAGGGGCGCGGGGTGTTAGGGGCGCAGACCCGGCCAACTAGCAGGGGCTGCGTTCTGGGGAAGGTGGTGAATTTTAAACCTCAGACACGCTCATATTTCCTGGGCGCGCGTCAAACCCTCTCTGCGGGGCTCGTTACTCCGCCTAAGCCTCCCGACCGACATCCCAAAGCGCGGGTCTGGCGCCTTCTAACCCACACGGAAGTCCCCTAGTGACCCCGTGAAGGACCTCCCTCTCCTACACACGCACATACACAAGCTCATGTGGAAGCCTTAGTGACGTGGCTCGGTGGTCATGCACCATCATTTCCCTTCCACCTCCAGTCGCCCTGTCATCTCCCCTTCCAAGTTCAGGCTTGTGGGTGGAACCTGTTGCGTTAGCTCACGTTTCCTTCCCTCCCAGCTGCACGCTAAGGATGACCTCAGAGAGGTGTGTGTGTGTATGGGGAATGGATGGGTAAGTGTGAGATGGCACTGATACCTGGCATGATGGTGGAGAATCTGTTTAATGGTTTGGGGGAGCCTCCAAAGTCCCCTTTGATCACAAGGAGACTTTAAAGTAGGAGAAGAGGAAGATATCAGTTGACATGCTCCTGACACATTCGCTGGCTTTGCATCCTTCAGTTTTTCAGGAAACTGAGTCATAGAACCCTGCGCTGGGTATTTCCACTAGATGGGGTGGGGTGGGGGGGGAAGAATCTTTTCATAATGTATATGTATCTCGAATCACCATGATGTACGCTTTATCTTTTCATAATGTATATGTATCTCGAATCACCATGATGTACGCTTTAACTATCTTAACAATTTTATATGTCAATTATACCTCAATAAACCTGGGGTGGGGTTAGGGTAAAAAGAGAAAAAGAAAAACAGCGCTTATTTCTACAATGGATTGAGGGAAACCAGTTTCCCTGAATGTCCAGATTTGGGCCTGTTACTAATTATTCCCAGTGAATTCTAGCGTGGACCAGGCCACCACCCTGGCTTGGCAGGGTCCAGATGCCAGATGGAAGGCAAGGGGAATGCTTGGGATTCTTTTGTAGGGAGTGGCTGCTACCCCCACATTTCTTCTACATCCTAATGAGGACTTGGTGCAAAGACCCTTTGTTTAAGTGGTATCAGTAAAGTGAGACTCTTTCCTCTCCTAGGTAGGCCTGAGCCAGGGAAGATAAGCTAATCTTCGGACTTGTCTGGAAGTAGCAATCGTGAATAACAGGAAAGGGGGCCTTCTGTTCTGGCCCCTTTACGGCTCTTTACAGGACCGATTATAATGTAGAATGTCTTGCCGTAACATCTGTAAACAGCCTGCCTTGTGCTCCAAATATGGTTTGATTTTGAGATTGCTGCAGAGCCCTGGGTCAGCTGGCTGCCCCTCTGCAAGATGGAGGTGGCCCTGTAAGTGTTCAGCAGTGTGGGTAGGAAGCATTATGCGCTGGGAACCAGATAGCTGCTTTTCCAGTCACCATGTGTCTTGGCAAGACTTAGGTCAGAAAATGCTCCCTGCTCTGTGGGCAGGACACAGGTAGACAGATAAGTATTGATCAACTGAGGTGATATGGGAGGGTTGTGGTCTCAGTCAGATTTTAAATATTGGGACCTTCCTCAACCACCCACCCAGATTCCCTCCTGGGCTTGGGCTCATTCTTGCCCAGATGGTTTGTGTTGAGGGAATGCAAAATAAGGCCTTAGAAAAACATTTGGCAAGGTAAATCCACTGCCAAAAATGCATGGCATTTCAAAGCCAAATAGAAACATCTTTGAATTATTTGTCCTTTTAAATTATATTCTGACCGGATATTCTGTATCAGATGGGAAATTACCAGGTTTCCTTTTTTTTTTTTCCCTTCATGCAAGGTGCCTGGCTAGCTCAGTTTCCATTCTGTTTCCAGCTTTCCATCACCTGCCAAGAACCATCCCATTTTGGAACAGGAAGCCCTGCCAACGCCTAGGCCTGCAACAGTCTACAGATATGTCCAGCAGGATGAAGAGATTTGCAAAGCGAAAGGTTCTGTCTTCCTGTTTACAGAAAATCTCCTCAAGTTAGGAGCTTGGGGGCTTACAGACTTAGATTTGTCACCTGCAGCCTTTGTAAATGCATCAGAGATGTGAGTCAAGTGGGAGTCACCTCAAACCAGCACCTTCCCCCATCAGTCACCAAGTCCCGCTCCTCTTAAAGACCCACTGCCCCCACCCTGGTCTAGACCAGTGTCCTGAAATTACTGAACTGTCTCCCAACTATCTCTGCCCATTCTCCTCAAGCAGCTCATTCTTCTCAAGCAGCCAGTGTGGCCTTTCTAAAATGCAAATCGGAGCAAGTCTCTCCCAGGAGTCATTAAAACCCTCCAATACTTCTCTTTGCCCTTAAAGGAACTGCTTCCTGCCCTAACTTCTTTTGGAAAATTTCTATTCATCCTTTAAGTCTCAGATTAAATGTCACCCCCTCCTGGAAGGCTTCCCTGATTCTCTATATCTGCCTGATGGGGTCAGGTGACCTTCCCAAGCTTCCATGATACCCACTGCACTTACTATACTTTATCCAGGTTGCTGTTTAATTGCTTATCTTCTCTACTAGTCAAGAAATCCATTTTATAGCAAGACTCAGGTCCCACACACATAAAAACATATGTAACTGAAAAAAAAAGTACATAAAACTCTTATTTTGTAGAATTCTATTCTAATTCATCTAAAACAAAATCTAGTCATACCTTATTACATTGATTTTACAACTCTTAAATGAGTCAATGCAAAAAAAAAAAAAACCAAAAAACTCAATTCCATGAAGGGTGGGGCCATTTCTATCTTGTTTTAGAATGGAATAGGAGTGTCATCAATATTTGTGGCTAGAGTTATTAATTATAATAACATTTAATTCATTTAATCCTCAAAAACCCTATAAAGAAACTATCGTCCCCATTTTTAGGTGAGGATTATGAAGACAGTAAGGTTAAGTAACTTGTCTAATGTCAAAAAGCTGGGAAATTAGGTGGCAGAGCCAGGATTTGAACTTAGGTAGTTTGGTTTCAGGATCCTTGATCTTAGTAGCTCAGCTAAAGTTCAGTATCCCTTGGCCTGGCTGCATATGGATGAATTTACCAAGCAAGCATATCTGAAGGGTCTCCTTGCAGCAACCTCAAACCAGTTCCCAGGCTCCTGCCCTGCAGAGGCTTCTTGGGCAGTTGTTATGTCTATGCAGAGAAGAAGGCAGCTGGCAAGAGCAGCTGTTCTCCTCTGCTCACATGAGCTGGACCTCCTCGACTGTCAACAAGTTCAGCAGTATTAAACAAGTTGGGAGATTTCATTGTGTAAAGGCAGAGTACAGACACCTCAGTCTGTACGCTGAAATTGAAATTTCACATTATTATAAACTACATGCCTTAAGTTCCCCCCCAAATAAATCTTTTAAGAAAGTAGTCACCATAAGATTGGGATATTTATTTTTGTCACGGATAGGAAACTGCCTGGAATAATACTCAAAGCATAGGGATGAGAGCATGTTCCTCAGGGGTCAGTGCTATTTATAGGATTTTAATCTGTAAAGGCAACATTTGAGAAAAGACATGATTGAAATATTTAAATCATAAGGAATATGAATAGGTGGGGAAAAGATTTATTTGCAAAATCCCAAATGAATCCTGAAGTTATTAGCCCTAATGCTGAACCTTCTCTAAGTCGTGGCATTTAGAATAATAAAGAAATAGCTGGTAATTGGGTTTGTATTTCATCTTTATTACATGAATTACATGCAAGTCACATGCAGTACATACACAGATGCTCTCCTATTTCATCACCTGAGTGTAACTATGTGGGAATATTTAACAGCACTGTGGGCAAAGCATCCTGGGTGTACAACATCTGGGCTTAGTTTTCAGCCCTGTCTCTAATGAGCTGCGTGACCTCAGTTTCCTCAGGAAGGGGGCTGGACTGAATGATCATGTTAAGCAAATGATAAGAATTAATTGAATGAATGAATAAGTGAATGAAGCCAACTTTAAGTTGGCTTCTTTCGACTTAAAGACCCCTTGGACTTCATCTTAGACACTATGGGAAATATAGTATAAAATGTCTCTGAATGGTTTCATCACCTTCCTTGTTGGGAGACACGAGTTAGTTCCTCCTCTAATTCAAAACTGAGGTCTCTCTCCATTAGGCAGAGTCAATGCATGGTATTTC